TTTCGCGAAATCGGCAGCATTCGGTTGCGGCACAGCCGTATCGAGAGCGCAAGTGAAATTAGTCGCGGTTCGACGAGCCGCGGCCACAACCGGGTCCAGGAACGAACGAAAGTAACGCGACTCGCGACGAATCAGGGTAAATCGAGGCACGGTGGATGCTCGGCGCAGGATCTCGAAGAAAGGGAAACACAGAGCCGGTGCCAGCGAAAAGGGGGGCCAGCGAGGAGGGGCCGGCCGGGGAACGGGTTGAAGCGTGACCGATACTCGTTCGCCTCCGCTAAAAACGACGCTCGCATTCTCATTCACGTCGCGTCGACGCGTAGTACAGGCGTGTCGTTTTCTGGCTTGTCGCGGCCGCGCCGCGCGTAACGGCGGTTCAAGCCGGTGTTAACGAACACGCTCGCGCGCGTGAGAATGCGATAATAGCGCCTCGGATCCGCTCGGTCCCGAGGGGGGGACGCGGCCCGATGCCACCGGCCCTTCTAATTGCCCGATTTCGACGGCAACGCGGCACCGAGTTACCCAAACGCCTGTCGAATCGCGGGGGAACAATGGGATCGGGGGTACTCGGGGAGCATATTGATCGGTTCCGTTTTGTAGGTCATGGTTGCGATGCGGGGCTTACAACTAATTGGTAAAACATAATCGATTAGCTTCCGGTACAGCATTGTATACCTTTTTTGTTCTGTAAGAGACACGGCGAAGGCCCTAGGAGTTGTTCGTAGTTACAGGAAATTCTTCCGAATTGGCGCGGAGATTGGACCAAAAAATGGACAATCTGGGAAGCGAAGGATTATTCGAGCCTCGCGACTCGTTTTTATAGTCACCGATTGTCGACGATTACGGAAACTAGCCGCAAGGTTCGAATCTTATCTCCTATTCCAAAATTGTTCACTCTTTTCTGCAGAATTTGAGCGTGAATTAGGGAGAATTTACTATAGTTTGTACGTCGAGCATGGAATATCAACTCCAAGAAAGATCACAATGTCGCAGTGATTTAGTCAAAGAAATCGAAACATAGAAAACCATTAGAAATATTTTAATTTCACACTTTTATATTCGGAAATTTCTGGGAACATCCAGATTGTTCAATGTATTACGATAAAAATGAATTGCGAAACCTGGTTTATAGTCAGTGTCATCGATTTGTACTATCATACGTGATCACTCAACATAATATGATAGTTCGACCAATCAGTAAAAATGATTCATTTGTTCAATTATTTTATTATCCGAACACTCGTGTCTCCCTCTTCTACCCTGTAAAATAAAAACGCATTGATCTTTCCATAACGAAATTTTACACACATTTCCTCTAAAAGTCAACGAACACAATGCAAAAAGATCGGAGAAGTACATACTTCCCTGTGAAAAATGTACACTCTATTACTCAAACTCCCAGCATTTATTCCGATGTCTTATTGTGACGTTTTATCTGATCACCTTCGTAGAGTACGTCAATTTAAAGCGCGATGAAAATCTCGGTGATAAAATTGATGTAATTGATAAGGAGGAAATAATAGCTATCATCGAAGCAGATCCTCCAAGAACACCTCACGTATTTCCTATTCGAATGGTTCCCACTTCAATTAAACATATTCACTAGACCATAAGAAAATAAAAGTTGCATTAATTGCAGAATACAGAGGCACGTAAAGCCACTTAAAAGCGTGACGTAAGGTCGCTTCAGCCGCTTAAAAATGATGCAACAGCAATAATGTCTTTCCTGTTATACATTTTACGCACGCATAACGAATACATATAAATGCTATAAATATCGCTAAAAAATGCAAACACAAAAACCGCGATGATTTTATCATTATATCCAGTGTTCGAGATATCAGTGTACAGTAATGTCTCTCTAATTGACGCCCAGATTGACCACAAAAACGGACAATTTGGGAAAGAGAATTAATTCGAGTCTTGCGCCTCGTTTTTATAATTACCGATTCTCAACAACTATAAAAACGAGGCGCAAGGCTCGAATAATCGTTTCTCCTCTTCACAAATTATCCATTTTAATGGACAATCTGAGCGTCAGTAAGGGAGACATTACTGTATTCGGTATTAAAATCTTACAAAAACCTAGCGAAGCTAGAATTTGTATGCGAAGTGCTTGTTCGAGTATTCGCAGCCGGCGGTATCGCGTCGTTTCGAATCGCGTCGCGCCGATAATTTGCAGCTGGTATCGCGAAAGCAAAAGCCTTCTGAATCGCGGCGTCGCTGGAGGACGAGCCGAGGGGAGCAGCAAGAAGCCTCGTCGCTGGAGGAGCGAATTCCAGAAGGCTGACCTTCATATCCCGCGAATTCTGCCGCCTCCGCTCTGCCGCGTCGCGTCGAGTAGCCAGCGAATACTTGAGCGAGCGAGTCGCCGAGGCGTGCGCACTTGTCAATGCGCGTTCATACCCATTCACCGAATTCCTCGGTTCAATGGGCCGTATCCTGAATACGCAATGACACGTAGGTTTCGCCGGTTCGAGGGCCCCGCGATTCTATCCTGGCCGGTCGGCCCCGCGGAGAGCGAGAACTCACCGGAGGAAATTCATCCGGTCCCTCGGATCCATTACCGATTCCACGGCAAGTGGCGTGTACAGAGAGCCGATACGAACGCGAAGGGAGCCAGGGGGGGGGGCCGCGGCCACGCCGTTTAGGTGTCACGAGCCGCGTTCCTTCCACTCGATCACAATGAGACGCAGCTGGAAGGAAGCGCGGACGACGGGGAGAGAGATGAAGTCGACGGGTAGAAGAGAAACTGCCCACGCTCTTTTATCTCGGTGGCCCTTTGTATTAAGCCGCTGTCGCGACTGGTATGCGCCGGCTTCACCAAAGTCCACCTTCTCTTCCTGTCGATTCCTCTTTTTGCTACCCGGCCCGCCGACCTTCCCCTTCCCCCCCTACCCCTGATAGATCTATGAAGCTGCGTTTCGAACATACGTAATTCGTCTCCCCGCCCCGGGGTTCCTGCTTCCTTCGAGCCACCCTTTCACGAATTCCTGACCGGTGATTCGACCGGCCGGCCTTATCCGTTACACGGTCGTCGGGGGCTAACACACTTTTCGGGCCTGCAATGGACCGTGCGAGCCGATAAGAGAACTTTCGGGCGGGACGCTTTCCTAAGCCAAAGTGGCAAGTTGAATGTGAACCGTACAGGAGCGCGGCGCGTATCCGTTTGACAGCAACTTCTGGCATTTTTTTACTCTCGGATAGCTGCTAGACGGTGTCCCACTCGAAACTTCTCCGCGGGTATCTCTTGGTTCCTTTCAAACTGTCGGCGAAGTGACACCGTGATGGACGCGCGAGGAACTCAGACTCGATCGTTGACCACGATATTTTAAGGAAGAAGAAGAAGAAGCAGCAACGTCGTCGGAGAAGTTGCTGGATTTTCTTGGGAGATTAAACAGTTTGCGTAGCGACGTTATCCTGAAGTGGCACTTCTTCCGCCATGCTTCGGCGAAGACAAATTTATGCGGCTTCTCCCACGATAACCGAATGAATTTTTTTTTAAAGACAAGAATTTGACGTCTTCGGTGTCGCTCCAACCGGAAATACGACCTTGCGTTATCCCGAAGAGGTATTTCCTTCACGCCTCGGCGAAGACGGATCCGCGCAGCTTCTACGATCGAATAAATTTTCGACGATTATGTCACCGGCCACGAAGGGAGAAAAATATAACTGTTGGAAGTGTTTATACTAAATCTCTCTCTCTCTCTCTCTCTCTCTCTCTCTCTCTCTCTCTCTCTCTCTCTCTCTCTCTCTCTCTCTCTCTCTCTCTCTCTCTCTCTCTCTCTCTCTCTCTCTCTCTCTCTCTCTCTCTCTCTCTCTCTCTCTCTCTCTCTCTCTCTCTCTCTCTCTCTCTCTCTCTCTCTCTCTCTCTCTCTCTCTCTCTCTCTCTCTCTCTCTCTCTCTCTCTCTCTCTCTCTCTCTCTCTCTCTCTCTCTCTCTCTCTCTCTCTCTCTCTCTCTCTCTCTCTCTCTCTCTCTCTCTCTCTCTCTCTCTCTCTCTCTCTCTCTCTCTCTCTCCCTCTCTCTCTCTCCCTCTCTGGACAGTCAGGATTTCCTGCGACGCGTTCCACCACTTTCACGTGCCACGTCCCACACGCCGAATTACACGTGCCTGCTCGGCAGTCACGACGATCTGCATACCCCGAAGAAATATCACGGGAACCCGCCGGTCAAAGTGCGAAGGTATGCGATTGGCTCGCCGCCAAATCGCAGTTACCGCACGTCCAACTGTCAGCAGGACTGTTACACTAGAATCCCACGTGACAGGATAAACGTAGCCTTAATATTCCACGGAGGCCGCGCAATGGCTTGTTACACTTCGCAGGTTCACAGACGCGACGGTAATAATAGAAAACGCGATCGAACGATGACCAACATCCTCGGCTACCGTTCAGGGAAATCGTGTTCCGATGATTCACTGATTCGACTGTCGAGAATTTCCATGCGCGTTCTTCTCCGAATATCGGACAAATCGTGGCTGTTTTTATAATACTCGGGATCTGATAGACATTTTGGTGCCAGAATGTCGACGTAACAGACTTTATTTCAATATTTCTACATGACAAGTCGCGAGGCAGCGTTAGCTAAACGACTAGGGTTATTCGCCTTGATTACTGTTATTATTATTGTTATTATTCTTATTATTATTATTATAAATTAAGCATTATGCATTAAAGTACAATTAATATCTTATCGCGCTTATCAGATCAGAAGAATGGTAATTCGCGAGACGACCGAATAATTTACGATAAAATTGATCTTCTGTCCTCCAAAATTAACTGAAATTATTTTTGTTGGCGCATGGACGAATAAACTATTCGAAGCTTTCGGTACAATTTCAAACAGCTCGGTACCGATCGTCCAACACCGGTCGTCCAAAACTCGTTTCGCCGTGGCTTCAGAACGTTATTTTTAGACGGTGTTCTATCTATCAACGCACTTCGAATGGTGTACTTCGAATGTACTTCGAATGCTAACGGCAGATTTTTCTGGTTTCAGGAAACGGAAGAAGTGTGCCGACATGTCGGCCTTGCGCGCCGGGCCTTATCGACCCGGGATTATACTCTGTCTGACTGTTCTACTGGCATCGCAATCCAATTCTGGTGAGTCCCATAACGAATCCGCTGATGTGCTTTCCTCGGACAGGAACCTGTTCCCACCGCGAGAGTTTTATCGTTCTGTCGGTCTTGCCTGGACGCTTCTCTAACACGCTCGACGCGCGACGCGTCGAAACGTAACTCATTTGGCAGCGAACAGGTGTACGTGAGACAGCATGAAAAAGTAGTCTCGACGAGGAAGAACGTTCCTCTCGGATAGGCTTCCCATTCCCCGTACGTTTCTCCGGAGGCAAAAAAAGAACCATTCTACGATCCTGCCAGCATTACAATGCCTTCCCTTCGACAGATTTCGATTCCTAATCCGAGCAGTGGCCTTCTGGGACAGATACAGTCGGCCATAAAAATCTGCTGGTCGATGTTGCCGACGAGAAACATTTTGTGAACATTTATTTGATACTTCAAAGTCACTTGGATATCGTAGTACATAATCGTTATGTAATAATTTGTTGTGTCTGATTTATTTGCCATTCGTATGCGGAAAGTATTAGTTTGATCGAATCACTTCTAATTTGTATATACATTAAATTAATATTATTTTGTCGTTATCAATGTTCGTAAATACAGTTCGAGATATAAAGATTATTGTAGAATAATTTAATAAAATATTTCAGTGCATACGTAACTTAAAAGAATTAAAAATGCATATAAATAATATGTAAATGCGTGTACAGGACAGATTAACTGGTTTTTATCAAGTAATTGGCAGAAAGAAATTTCATTTGACTAAAGGATTCGACGAAACTTCTTGTATAGATCATAGCTTAGGATTTCTAGGAAAGATCTCGCTTGTGCCGGCGTTGAAGTCTCCAGCGATTAGCTGAAAATATGGCAGTTAACGCAAAATACTGGCGACACTATTATTAGAATACATCAAACACTACTTGAATATTATTCCTTAATCATTTAAGCTGTTAAAAAGCTATCCAAATACGAGATTTGACACGTTAAAATTGATAAAACACGATGCAGACCTAACCTCAAACTGGATAGCTCTATAATCTCGAGATATATTATTTTCCTACGATTTACTTAAAATCTCGTAGGTAATTTATTAGTAATTTTATTAAAATTCCATACACAGAAACAGTCCAAATGCAAATTAAACATGCAAAAAGTTACTCAATTCGCACTATATAAAATGCAATACGAATTCTTATAATTTTAGAAATATTATAAATATTATTTTCAAGCTAACGATCGATTCAGGTTACTCGCATCGTAGAAACAATTCTAATATTGCCGAAAGTTGTAAGAATGACCGCTACACTTCGCAGCCGAGCGATATCTAAATGAGCCACAGGTCCCACCAGGACAACGAACCTATCTTTGTCCTTCCTTCTCCCCGAGCGGAATAGTAGTCTTACCTCATAATGTTCACCTTTGGCATCCTGGAGGGCCCAAGGTGCTTTCCCATGGACCTGACACACCATATTCGTTCTTCGACGGCTCTTGGGTCGTTCCAGAGCGGCGGTCTCCACTCCGTCACGAGCCGCCTTCTTCGAGGTATCGTTGGAAGCCTCTTCCGTTTACGTCGGGGCCGGTTTCGGATTACGTGTATCCGCGATTCCCAGTCGTTTCGAGTCGATCCATGGATCGGATCGGCACCGATTAGTCGCCCCCGTATGAGCTCGACGCGACGCGTCGCATCGGAAATCGTTCGTAAAGGCTCGGGACTACTTTCACCTGCATCGCGATTGCGTCACGCGAATCCCGAGGTCAGGTTCATGGGAAACGACCGGTAGATCACTGCATACGGAAACTGGCTCGCTCCTGTAACCGAATCTGTTTACCTGGCCGCCTTATAGCCGCGCCGGTTGTATCGTCTAACGTCCGAAGATCCGATTGCGAAACGGCGGAGCGAAATTAATATTCGACGGCCGATTCGAATCGGGCGATCAATTCGGCACTGCCAGACCTATTCCGGGTTGTTTATGACGTTAATGGATGCTCGTGACGAATTTTAATCGGCAGAATTTGTTCGGGACACGTGTAAATCGCTTGGGACCGCTTGTGTCAATGGTGAAACTTGATAAAGCGGTTTTGGGAAGGCTTTGCTACGGTACTTCTTATTTATTGCCGGCTCAGTGTCGCATTAACTGTGCGGACAAATTTTTTTTACCTTTAAATACGTCTTAAGTACTCGATTAAATCTGCTGTTCTGCTGTCACTAGCACGCGCGATGTTGTCTCGATTTTTAAGAACTTGATGTTTCAAGAGACAAGATTGTGTAAGAATCTAGCGAGGTTTCTTAAACGCGTTGTTGTTAAGTAACGCGATAACGTTGTTTGCTAAATACGACTACCATTCAACTTTTATCAACCTATTCAATCTTCCGCCGATTTGTATATTATCAGGATTCCGGGTTTTTCGCGAAATTTTAATGAATTTCTTAGATGCAGTTAGATCGGTTCTGCGAAAGATACGAATAAATGTCCGCGCGTTTTGCGTTCTATCTAGTCGTTTCCTTCGTACGTGCATAAAATCCGCAGTCTAATTATTAGTAACTACGTGCGGAGCTTTATTTATAAAGCGTCCGTCGGATGCCAAATCGGTTAAACCGTTCGCGACCGGTCACGAATGAAGGCAGCAACGTCTAAATTACATCGTGTCGAATTTTCACAAATCGGATTACGCGACAGCGATCCGTTTAGCGTCCGATCGACGAAAAATCGCGCCACCGGACGTCGACGGCAGTTGTAATTGGTTTGCCGGGCCATCGCGATCCATCAACGGCGATTCGAAATCGATCCCGTTTCGCCGGCGGCACGGGGCGCGGACGAACTCGTTCGTGGAACAGCTTGCTACCTCGAAAAGCGCGGACGTGCAAAAACGTTGCATCGTCAATGAGAGCTCGCCGAAGAGATGCGCCGTTTCTCTTTTTTATCCCCCACCCTCCGGCCGAGCCCACCCTGCAACGTCAATTGGCCGCGCGGCTAATTCAGCGAAGAACAGGTGCGCGCGCGTGTGTGGATAAACGACGGAGGAGCACGTTTGGATTCTCCGTGCGTTTTTTCCTCCCGTTTTTGTCGTTTTTCGAGCGGATCGCTAGGCGAGCTTGTCCCTCGCGGGAACGGAGCGTCCGCGTACGATCTTCTTGCGCCGGTTTCCCTTTCGAGCCTGACGCGACGACGGCCGCGTCTCCGCGTGGTTTTCTTCGTCGTTCGAGAAACGGTTTGCATTCGGGGAACGGACCGATGCTCTCGGCGCATAGAAACGCGACCCGAGAAAAACGCTCTCGCCCGCTTCGTCCGGCCCGCGAGCATCGAGCGCGAATGTTTCTTGCCGCGGAACGATTTACTCGAAATTATTCCCGACAGTGCTGAACACTCGGGGGACCGTGAAACGAGATCGGAATAACTTCGATCCAAGCGGCGAAAGAAGCCGCTGGTCGAAAGCAAGAGTCGATCTCTTTAAGTGCCCCGCAATTTCATCTATTCGATGCACAAGTTCATTCCGTTGACTTTTTGTCGAAACAGTTCCATCGCTGGTTCACAAATATTTTCTCAGCCTGCTGGAATCTTGAAAATCGACTAATGGCATCCGTGATCTAGAAGAGATCGATTGAAGAGATCCGGTGTCGGAAGTACGAACTGTAATATATTATACTTTATCTAGGTTTAATATGAAACATTAGGCTTGTCCTCTCATTGCAAACGTACCTTTTAAAAACATTAGAATAGGTGTTAAATAAAGATTCCGTTTTATTGAAACGTTTATTCAAAAGAGAATTTAACAGTTGCTCGAACACAGATTAAAATGATCAAAAATAATAATAATAATAATAATGATCAAAAATAACATTTTTAAGACTGAGAGTCGTATAACCTTTCCATATACAGAACATTCTCTAATACAGTACGACTCTAACAATTTTCTCCATAATAAATATATAATATATATATATATATATATATATATATATATATATATATATATAACTATATATTAATAAATATAAATAAATAACTATAAACAAATT